TGGCTTGGAGGGCAAGGAAGGAGCATGGGAAGGCCCAGGTAGGGCCAACCTGAGGGTGCTGGGTGGCACCTGCATTGTGCCCCTTGGCCTCTGTGCCTGGTTTGCAGAGAACGGGGCTGGTGGCAGGTTCACACCCACATTCCTGAGCAGCGCCATATGGGCAGGAGAGTCAAACTCCTAGGGAGGTGGGAAGCAGGAGCTCAGAGTCAGGGCCCTGTTACACAGTACACTGTGAGCTGCACAGATATCCATGGGTGTTAGTACCAGCTTGAATTTGGAGCACTCGCACTTCAGACCAGCAGAGGCCTCAAGGACTGAAAGGTAAAAATTCTACCCCCCCACGCCAATTCCAGGTTTCCCCCTGCCCTCTGGGGCTCCCTCAGATCCCCCCTGCCTCCTACCTCCCCCTGGGCATTACATGCTTGTGGGCTACCTATGCTGTTTGTTCCAGGGGAGAAGGCAGGGAAGGGTTAACCTGCCTGACCAGCCACTGCTGCTCATCTGGCAGCAGCAGCAACCCCATGGTACAAGCTCCAGGGTGGCCACCAATATGGTGCCTCCCCCTCTAAAATCAGCACCTGGGGCTGATGCCCCATTTGCCCACCCCTAGGTATGCTACTGATAATCCCCTCCTCTTTAGACATACAGAGGTATATATAATCATGCATCCTTGGACATGGACACACACAATACTTAAGCTGGTTCAAATCTGAAATGGACAGACATACAAACTCATTTAAAGCTGCCTGGAATGGTGTGAAGTGTTCATGTGTTACATGTGGATACCAAGCATTCTGTAATATGGGTCTTCTTGGATCTCTAGGAATCCCACACTGCAATACTCCTCCCTGCTCCAGCCGGCTGCTCTGGTACAGTCTCAGAACTCTACCACGGCCTAAATTTTTCCCCTTGTGCTGCCCCTTTAAACAAAAAATATATAAACTAACTCACTCACAGTGTTTGTTCAATAAAAGCAAACTAACAGATAGCTGGAAAACTAGGATAACTGAAGAAGTAGGGAAATAACACTGCAGGATGGTGAAAGCTGCAGAAGTTGAGAAAGATTTTAGGGAGAGCTTTAACTCCTGCTAACTCACGACTAATTAATGTTTTGAATAATAGAAGCCTTTTGTATGAGATTTTTTTAACACCCTTGCGATTTCAGTAATATTTGCAAAGCTCATGATTAGGAACCTACCAAAATTGTGATTTTGCAGATTTTTGCAAATTTTGCAAAATCCACCTGGGCTCCTTGGCCAGTCAGAGGCATGGGGGGCTCCATCACACTCTGCCTACAAAATGGCTGCCAGGCCTCTTGTATTCTGCCTGCAAAACTGGTGGGCAGCCACCCCAAATTTGGTAGGTCCCTACTCATGATAAACACCCATGAGACCTCCCAGATGTCCTGGAAGGCCTGAGCAACCCAAATTGGACAATCATTATAAATAAATACTTTGGAAGTTGTTTTCAAATATTCCTTTCAGCCTTTTCTATCCAGGGGAAAGTGTAGCATAAACCAAATTTTTGGTTTAAAAATCCATTATAGATCTCCTCTCTTCTAGTTTAATAACATTCTTGTTTGGCTACAGGCTACCTTAGTAAGTTGACCTAAAGCACCCCTTTTTCAAATATCTTGCTGCGGTTGCCACATCAGATGGTTTTAGTCTCTGTTAATCAGGATGCACAAAACAAGAAGCTCTTTTTCATTTTTTTAGGAAGTGGCAGTCAAAGCAAATGGGAGACTGACCACTGCTGAGTTCTAACTACTCCAGTACTGCTGGCAGCATTCACTCCCTGGTCATCTGCCTGCTTTAACTTGTACAGCTATTGTCATTTCTAACCCATGGCATTTGGGCTTATCAGTATTGAAGTCTCAACACTGAGTCTCAGCAAAACTGCAGACAGAAACAAAAGGAGAGAATGCTATTGAGATGAGGTCCACAGGGAGTGACAGAACATAAAGAGGCAGAGACAGGAACTTCTGACTAATGGCTCTCTCCTGTGTAGGTTTCCAGTCTGCACTGCAAGTCATATTACACTAGGGCAAAACTCATTTATTTCTTGTTCCTCACCCTGTCTCCACAACTTCCTGTTTTAGGCTTTAACCTTTCATACTTTTACTGGAATTTCCATCTAAATGCAATGCAGCTACATTAAAATTGCAGTATTAAAGTGCATTACAGTATTAAAATCCCTAAAGTAAAGATTGCTTGCTGTGTTCTAGCTTTACATGCTAATGTTAGTATCTCCCTTTGGATTCAATGAGTTGTGGTAGAGATCACCCTCAAATTGAAGGATTGTTATTGCCACCGACTGATCTCCCACCAATGTTTGTTTATGAGTGAAGGGACATACACAATCTACTTTTTCAGATAAGAAAAGGCCCTTACAGTTCCTGCTAAACTAAAAGTTATTTCAGCCAGCCATCTGAGCAAAGTTTGGATACCCCTGAGCTCCTCTCTGTCTCAGAGTTATGGTTAAAAAAGTCATTTTCCAGTGTTCATGTAGCATGGGGAAAGTGAATCTGCAGCACTAAAGAGCAAAGTACCATGAGGGGAAGTGATGACTCTGAAACTCATGCTAAGCTGGGGTCACTCACACACATAAGTTAAAATACAAAATACTGATGCAAACTGCATAGTGCAAGAGGATGCGAGTTCACAGCTAGGTCATCTGAGAAGGAATAATGAAGTATCACTTCCATCTTATCTTACTATATTCATGAGGATTTTAAGCAGGTTCTTCCTAGTTGTCTGGTATGTAACCCTGTGAAATGTCTATCCTTAATTAATTAGTGCAGTAAACATTTATTTTGCAATTTCCTTGTGTTTATGTGCAGGAAGAGACATTCTCCATATGGGATTCCTCCTAATTTACTTTTGTTATGTTGTTTCCTCCCAATTTACCTTGTCTTGCCTAGTGATTCCCTTGATCTTCCAAGGACACTCCCCAAAACCTTGTGTTTTTCCTGGTTGTTAATCAGTTTCTTGATATGCTCCAAACCTAGTGGAAATGGATAACCTCTTGTCACTGAGGAAGGTAATTCATTCAAATTGGAACTTTCTGATAACCAATACTGATCATTTTGATTAACAGGATTTTCCTGTCAATTACTGCTTGGGACTCTTGATTTACACAGCTACAGTGCTTTGAAGATGCAGGACTAAGGGTATAAGAAAGAAGTGGAACAGCTAAGGGCACATGCTTCAAGAGTGAGAAATCTCTCTCTGATGAACTACTGCTGCACCTAGCTATCTTGAGAAGTTGAAGATAAACAGGCTGCCTTTAGTCACCTGTTTAGTGAGAAACTATATCACCTTATAGCTAAATACTGGACTTTGGTTTGAGCTCATTTAACCTTGAATACTTGTAGTAAATAAAGCCTTTCTGTCACTTATTGAATAAGATGTTGCGTCAATCCTCTAATACTAGTCCAGGACCCCATTTTTTATTGGCTAACAGAAGTTTCTAAAATGACTATTACAACCCAGCATGTCTAACAGAACTCACTTCATGAAGGAGACTACCACATCATGTAAGCTTCCAGAGAGCTGCACTTAATCACAGAGATGAAACAATCTAGATGAATGCAGAGACAATTACTAACAAGTGTGCAAAACTTGTTAAAGCATCTTTGAAAAAAATTCTTTGAAAAAAATCCTAACCTTAGCTTGTATGCATGACCTTTAGATTTTTTGTAACTACTGAATTAAATGCAGAAACCAATCCTGTGACAGCTATGCAGTAGGATCAAATGGTTAATAAATTAACACTTTAGCACTCCTTGTCAACAAGATAGCCTTTCTACATACCAGGTGAGGTGTTATTTCCCCAATCTGCAGACTGCCTGAAACAACAGTAAAATGTCAATTCTTGCATTTTTGGTGTATTTCTTAAAACAAACAAAAATAGACATACATGCATGCACACCCCGCCCCCCCAGCTTCTAAAACAAACGGACTGAAAATCTACATTTTTTTAAAATTTAAAGGTAAGCCTTCTTTGTTGTGGAGAAAAGTTTGAGATGGTGAAGTAAGGGCATATCTACATGTCACCCTATGGCGACAGACGCACTACGTTGCCATACAGCATGCTATGGCAACATAACAATCATGTGGGTCTACATATAATCAGCAACTACATCACCACAGGAGTGCGCTGCCCCAGTGCCATTATGGTGACGTAGCAGCAAAATCTAACTGTGCACTGTGCACACAGTGCAGTAACTTCCCGTACTGTGCCATGTTTTAGTACTTCCTAACAGTATTACTAAAGCACAATGCTGTAGCAACACTGCCGTACAGTGACATGTAGACACATCCCAAGACCTAAATAGACTAAAGACAAAAGAAAAAACCCCAAATTATGTTGACAATATTGTTATGAGTACTCAAGTTTGAAAGTTCTGCAACGGCTCTCAATGAAATAGTTTCCCCCTTTCATCTGTGTACTATTAAACTTTCTGATACTGTAGCCGCTGGGCCTCAAGCAGTCGCTCTCGTGCCACTCTCGCTTGGGTGATTGATGTTACTTGCCTCACGGGCTTGTGCTTCTGTCTGAGCTGGTGACCTCCGCCTGAATCCTTAACCCTATGCTCTCCTGCCACGACTTGTTGACCTCAGTGCCTGGGACCATTCATCAGGCGTGCTCGTAGACCCGAGGTTCCTCCCAGCAGTTACTCATGGGGCTCCGCCACCCCTACACCCCGGCCTCACGCCTCCTGTGTAGCGGTATCAAGCTGGTCGGCGTCTCAGCCCTGGGACCCTCGACTGGGTCCTACTCAAGCCCCCTCGCCACTACCTAGCCTCCATGCAGATTCACTGCCCTCAGATACCCCTGGAGCTCGGGGAAGAACAAAATCAAAAAGGAAAAAAAAGCAGCAGCAGCTCCAACTCAAAACCGGGCGTACTGCCCCTTTAACTACCCCCCCACTCCCTTCCAGCACTTCACTGGAACACTGGCTGCCACATCCCCTTAGGCACTCAGCTCACTGATTACTCCTAAGGCATCTCCTGATCCAGGGGCGATGCTCTCTCCTGCTGCAACTCTTCCTGAGCTCCTCGCAGTCCCTCTCTCCCGGGACGGATTTCTTCAGATGTTCCTCCTGCCGACCTTACGAGGCAATCTAGGCGTCCCCCCACTGCTTTTTCTACAGTGTCATCAGGATGGTCCTCTTCTTCCCTCTGGCTTGCGTCCTGGCCGCTCCTGCTCTTCTGGTTCTGTGCCTCAGCTTGTCTTGGCTGCGGGGACCTCTGTGGCTGAGTTCTCTCCTTCCCAGCCGGCTTCGCAGCGTGCGCCACCATTTTTATCCATGCTGGCCGGCGTTCAGTGCTGACATCACCAGCCGGCCACAGCTTGATAAACAGGCAGCTGACGAGCTGCGTGGGCTCTGCCTTCTGCCCCTCACACACTGACTCCCGAGTCACTGGTAAGTCCTCTTTCATGCCTCGTGCCCTGGGACATAACCCTTCCTGCCAGCTGCCTTGTGGTGGTTTCTCGAGGCCCCCTTCAGCGGTACCTGTGACTTGTTGCACGAGGCGATGTAGTGAACCGTCCCTGTCCGGTCCCTTGTCCTCGCCGCATCTAGACAAAAAGTCAGCTGTTATGTTGTCCTTCCCCAGGCAGTATACAACATGAAATTTGAAAAGTTGTAAAGCCAGCGCCCAGCGCGTTATTCGCGCATTGTCGGTCTTGGTGGAACTGAGCCATTTCAAGGGCGCATGATCGGTGATAAGCGTAAATTCCCTTCCTAGCAGGTAATAGCGGAAGTGTTCTACCGCCCACCGGATAGCTAGGCATTCCCTCTCTATTGTTGCATACTTGATCTTAGCCAGTAATAACTTCCGACTTACTGGCCGGTCTAAGTCTGCGTCTCGTTGTGTAAGAACAGCTCCGATGGCGGTACTGGAGGCATCTGCCTGCAACGTAAAAGGTTTATTAAAATCTGGTGCATGTATGATTACATCTTTGCATAGGGCCCTTTTTAAGGTTTGAAAGCTTTGGAGCATTGCTCTCGTCCAGGGTATCCCCTTCCGAGGTGATCCCCTCAAAGCCTCTGATAAAGGTGTTGCTATGTCTGCAAACTGGGGTACGAACTGGTGGTAATAATTTACCAGGCCCAGGAACGACCATAATTGAGCGTTTGTGGAGCCTGGAAGGCCCGAATGGCCTGGACCTTATCTTCCAGGGGTCATATGGTACCTTGGCCTACCCGGAAACTGAGACACTTTCTGGATGAGTGGGCGATTGTGCACTTACACAGGGTTGCTGTTAGACCCTTCTGCCGTAGCTCAGCCAACATGGCCCTTAGGGCATGTAGGTGCTGACCCCACAATCGTGTGAAGATGACAATGTCGTCAATGTACGTGGCCACATACTCGACGTGTAGCGCTAAGAGACAATCCATTAGCCGTTGGAAAGTAGCAGCTGTGCCATGCAGCCCAAATAGCATACATACAAACTCATACAAACCCCAAGGGGTCCCGAAGCCTGTCTTAGGCTGGTCACATGGCTGGACCGGTATCTGCCAATATCCCTTGGCTAGATCTAATGTAGTTATAAACGGGGCGGCCCCTATCTGCTCTACTAATTCCATTACTCGAGGCATGGGGAAGGCATTGAATGTAGCTATCGCATTCAGCTTGTGGTAGTCAATACAGAGCCATAGTGTCCTGTCTGGCTTCCGCACTGCCACTAGAGCGCTCTGCCACGGGCTCCAGGAGGGCCTAATGACGCTGAGGGCTTGCATCTTTTCTACTTCTGCCTTCGCTTCTGACATCAAGTGATGAGGCAGGGGCCGCCACTGACCCCTTACGACTGTGCCTGGGGGCGTATGGATGGGATGGAACGTACTTACCCGCCCAGGATTTTCTGAAAAGACCTCTTTAAGCTCTATGAGGAATTCCCACGCTTCCTTCTCCTGGGCCAGCGTTAGCTCGATGCCCATGCAGACATCTTTCACAGATTTGGGAATCAATGTTTCCACGTCCAGTTTTCGCTGTCTCAGGTTGTTGGTCCCCTTGGCCCTGAAGGCCGCCCAACCTTCAGGTTGGCGCCACTCCCTCAGCAAGTTGATATGATAGATTTGTTTCGTTCTTTGATGTCCTGGGCAGTAAACTTCATAGTCAACCGGGCCAACTCTCCACGTAACCTCAAACAGGCCTTGCCACTGGGTCAGTAGCTTGCTGTGCGAAGTGGACAAAAGAACTAACACCTTTTGCCCCAGTTGAAACTCTCATTCCTTGGCGTACACGTCATATCTCTCCTTTTGACGTTGTTGGGCTTGCCATAGATTACCAGCTGCTAATTCTCCCACGTTCTGGACCCGCTGTTGGAATGCCCACTGATATCCTGAGGGGTTGGTAATAACCGTAGGGCCCTGCTCCCACCCCTCTAGGAGGATTTGCAGTAAGCCATGGGGCTGATGACCTAGCACTAGCTCAAAAGGAGAGTATCCCAAGGGCTCCGATGGTGCATCCCTAAGCACGAATAAGGCCAGTGGCAGCATCAGGTCCCACTGCCATGGATCGCCCTGCATGCACCACCTTAGCACCCTTTTTAGGGTTCCATTTAGTCTCTACTAACCCGTTGGTTTGAGGGTGTTAAACCGATGTTCGTAGCTGCTTGATTTGCAAGGTCTGACAAACTCCCTGTAGAACTTTGGACATGAAGTTCCGGCCCTAGTCCATTAGGATCTCATGGGGAATTCCCATGCAAGCGATCCATTTTACCAATTTCTCCACTATTTTCGGTGCTGTTATGGACGTTAAAGGCACCACGTCAGGGTATCTCGTTGCATAATCGATAAACACCAGAATGTATTGGTACCCATTACTGCTGCGAGGTAGCGGCCCTAAAATGTCCATTGCGATCCAGGAAAATGGTAGGTCGATTACCGGCACGGGCCTCATTGGGGCACGAGGTGTCCGATCCTCTCTAGCCTTCTGGCATACAGGGCAATCTGTAGCCACTGGGCCTCAACCAGTTGCTCTCGTGCCGCTCTCGCTCGGGTGATTGATGTTACTCGCCTCATGGGCTCGCGCCTCTGTCTGAGCTGGTGACCTCCGCCTGAATCCTTAACCCCATGCTCGCCTGCCACGACTTGTTGACCTCAGTGTCTGGGGCCGTTCATCAGGTGTGCCTGTAGACCCAAGGTTCCTCCCGGCGGTTACTCACGGGACTCCACCACCCCTACATCCCGACCTCACACCTCCTGTGTAGCGGTATCAAGCTGGTCGGTGTCTCAGTCCTGGGACCCTCGACCGGGTCCTACTCAAGCCCCCATGCGGATTCACTGCCCTCAGATACCCCTACCCCTGGAGCTTGGGGAAGAACAAAATCAAAAAGGAAAAAAAAGAGGAAGAAGCTCCAACTCAAAACTGGGCGTACTGCCCCTTTAACTACCCCCCCCACTCCCTTCCAGCACTTCACGGGAACACTGGCTGCCACATCCCCTTAGGCACTCAGCTCACTGACTATTCTAAGGCACCTCCCGATTCAGTGGCAATGCTCTCTCCCGCTGCAACTCTTCCTGAGCTCCTCGCAGTCCCTCTCTCCCGGGATGGATTTCTTCAGATGTTCCTCCTGCCGACCTTACAAGGCGATCTAGGCGTCCCTCCACTGCTTTTTCTACAGTGTCGTCAGGATGGTCCTCTTCTTCCCTCTGGCTCCCATCCTAGCTGCTCCTGCTCTTCTGGTTCTGTGCCTCAGCTTGTCTTGGCTGCGGGGACCTCTGTGGCTGAGTTCTCTCCTTCCCGGCTGGCTCCGCAGAGTGCGCCGCCATTTTTATCCATGCCTGCCAGCGTTCAGCGCTGACATCACCGGCCGGCCACAGCTTGATAAACAGGCAGCTGACGAGCCGCGTGGGCTCTGCCTTCCACCCCTCACACGCTGCCTCCTGAGTCGCCGGTAAGTCCTCTTTCATGCCTCGCGCCCCGGGATAGATACCAATTTATTTAAATTTAAATAAATTTAATTCTTTATTAAAAATAACTGTCTTCCAAACTTTTCAGAAATGTGTAAAAACCTTGAGCTGGTGTACCTGTGCATGGCTACTGGGTGTACTAACAGCTACTGGAGCAAAGCATCTTGTTGCTCTAAAGATGTGATCCCACAACTTTGCCCAGAATAAAGATGTGATGTAGAGTTTCATGCTGGTACAACAACGTTGAGTAAAAGTGCAATTCTTTTTTTAAAGTCAGAGAACTCCCAGGAAAACTCCTGCTATGGACAGTTATATTGATATAGCTCAGGGCTGTCTAAGTGACCACAGATACACAGGTAGAACCAATGCAAGCCATAGGCCTTTCAGGTGGACAGGCACACCTCCCCCCCACCCCCTTGCTTTATTATACACGTGTTCCCTGCTGTGCCCACTTTCAGCTCCCCAGCCACAGGCTCTCCCCCAGTACATCATACAGCTACCCTGGGCTGGGGGCTAACCCAGAACTGCAGACTGTAGCATGCCACTCTGCCCCATCCTGCCCCCTGAAGCAAGGGCAGGAAGCAAAAACTGAAGAAGGGCAGGGGAGCCCAGAGTCCCCCAGCTGCTACTGCAGCTGGAGCAATTAAGGGAATGGCAGCTAGGTGAGAGCCTGGGGAGGCTGCTAATTAACTCCTTCTAGGCCAAATGTGGCCCATGGGCTGCCAGCTGGAAAGCCCTAATTTAGCTAATTCCCCTTCCACAGGATTATACTTCTTTAACTGTGATGGAAAAAATAAGCAATGTGTGCACATGTGTGTTCATGAACACATGCTGCCAACAAAGAAGTCTCTTTACTGTCCTCCAGCCCCCGGACTAAGAATTCAAACTGTATACACCACCTGAAGTCAAAAGCTACTTATCAGTACTGTGAGCTCTTCCAAATAAATGTAATTTTGCTCAAGTTAGTGTCACTCTGAAGAAAGAAGCTTCATCCTTCTTAAGGTTGTTTCTGGAAAACAGCCCACTCTGACTGGCTGCTAATTCCCAGGAGAAAAAAGTAGTGGGGAAGACATTAGCAGTGGCTAATCAGGGAGAATACCCTTGCTGGCATATGCCTTTCCTTTCAGACTGCAAAGACATTTTTGTATAGGAGAAGAGAGCAGCTGACTATATTCCCACAGCCAAGAATGAAACAAGAAGCCCAGAAATTTAGCTGTCTCTGTTCTCCCTCTCCCCCATGAACAATGGATTATTCTCCTCTTTGGTCTTCTCCCCACAATACTCCCTACATTATCAAGCCTGGGAAGAGATTTGTTGAGGTTCCCCCTCATTCTCACTCCACCTCCCCTCAAACTCAAAATAAACCCCAAAAGCACTGGAAAGGCATGATACAGATGTAGGGGCTAGACAACAGGTACGTGTAGGCTGGTTCATAGTAATTAGAATTTTGGACCTGTGAAGCTGGAAGCTTCACACCACAAGGTATAAACCAGGGCAAGGTAGCACCTTAGGTCCCTGGCACATGTTCATGGCACAATGGGATCTGATGCCCAGTCCTAATCGCATCTCCTGTCATGCCACATGCAGGTGGCAAGTGTGACTTTTGGAATCAGGGAGCAGATTTCAATCATACCCTTTCTGCCTATCAGCAAAGATGGAGTCAGGGATTATGATTCTCAGCTTCCCTTGCACTGGCAAGTTGAAAGTTGGGTGCCCACAGCCCTGTGTGTGGGACTCACAATCAAGTGATTATTTGCCCAGGGTTCAAGCAAAGGAGCAGTTTTTAGATACCCCCAGACAACAGGACCCACAACCATTCTGCATAAGGATCTCAGGTCCTTATGCACTGGCACCTTTAAAAAGATGTGTACAACTTATTTTCAGCATCAGGATGGCCAGGGCTGTCCCGATCCCAACACCAAACCCCATCTCAATGCCAATGTTGATTGTCAGGATTGGGAGGGGAGGGAGAAACAGTGGAAAACACGGGAGGAGGGGTGCAGCTTGTTTAATTTATGACACCATACATGTGAGCCACAAAGATGTTCCACATATTTATGGCACCATAAATTGGCTGAACATGTAGCAGGCTGGGCCATGTTAATCATGCTGTAAGTGTAATATGCCAGGGGCCTTAGAGATTAATGTGCCACCTTGTCCTGCCTTTTGGCTAACCACAGACTAACATGGATAACTATCTCTCTCCTACCCTGAAGCAGCCAGTGAGAGCTCCTGAAACAGGGGCCAAGTCATTCTACACTCTAAATTTGAGATTTGGCAACACAAAAACAGTCAATCACACTGGGGACAGGCAGGGGATAACACAGGTCAAAATACAGACCTAAACCATCATATAATCTTTAAAACAAAAGTAGTATGGTCTTGGGACTTTGGAGTTGGCCATGCTGTTGGCTGTTGTCCTTGGCATCCTCACATTTTCCCTTAAATTGCTTTAAATACAAAAATCTGCAGCAAACAAAGTCCTCATAACATGAAATAAATTTGATACGGAAACCACCTCACAAGGAATCCCATTTTGATTTGATAAAAGCCTCTGCTATTAAAATATACTAGAAGCTCTGAAATGCAACACACAAGTTCTGCTGAATGTCGGGTATCCTGCCAAAGTCCACAGAGCTCGGTTTACATTTATCTAAAAGGGGAGCAGACTCCCTTTTTCACTAGGGCAGGCAGTTATGACAGCAGCAGCAACAGCAGCATTTGGTAACTGCTTTATTATTTACATTTTCTAAAAAGACAAGAACGAAATAGTACAGAAAATAAAAATAAATGGAGATTTTTTACACAATCCTGTTTTAAAAGACAAGCTATACAAAGGAGAATTGTATCCCAGCTTTTAGGATGGAAAGTGGGAGAGATTTTAGTAGTGGCACAGGTCTGGTAACATGAAGGTCACTACTTACGTTGGCTACAGGCAGAGAACTGTGCCCAGGAACAGGTTTCCCCAGTACAAGGAGCCATTCTGCAACTTGTCTAACATCCCAGTAAACTTTCTCTTTGCAAAAGTACACAAGTGAAATTTTAAACCTGCTCATTTCTACAGTAAGAACATGAAATATTCTTATCCAGAGAAACAAAACGCTTGATAAAGAGTTGAGAATCTGCCTATCTCCTTGCATTTGGTACTCCTGGTCTCCTCTCAATAATTCAAAAGTAAAGGAAATTTTAGTTAATCCACCCCAAGGTTACAGCATAATTCTGCAGCTTGGTGGTAAATCAAACTGCTGGATTTTAACGTTAGAAGACAGTATTTAACATGGAGTGGATGGTTACGTCCCCAAGTTTTGTTTTGTTTTTAATATACAGAGGCAGCCAATTCTCTTCTGTTTTAAAAATCATGTTTAGCCACCAGAACCTTAGGCAAGGTTCAAATGAGTTGGAACTACCATCTAGAGACTGGCTGACTGAGTTTGTTTATAACCTTTTTTCAAATAAAAGACAGAAATTTATTTTTTTAATCTCTTGCCTTCTCAAACCTCTCAGTTTACCTGACTGGGGAACACCAAAGGAGGCAGCACACTGCATACTATATGCAGAATAAAAGAGTTCTCATCCTACAATTCTACAAACTCCTCCTGTGTGGCAACAAGCCAGCAGCCAAGGGATGGGCTTAACTGATGGAAAAGTCCCACTTAGTTTGTTTTGCATAGAATCTTTGGGATCATACAAACAGTGAGGAAATGGACAATGGTGCATTTGCAGAGACTTCAAAAGGGGAGGAAGAGCTGCTGCTGCTGCTCCAGACTGGGCTACAGTTGTTATGCTGTAACTCTTACTTATGCAGGAGTTTGTGGCAATACAAGCAAGCTAAACTATCTCAACTTTGACCCCAAATAAATGGCTCCACTGTGGGGCTCCTTGAAAGATGGATCCAGCCTGAGGCATGAGGACTGCTGCAGTGGTCACCAGCAAGGGGTCCAACAGGAGAAGAGAGTCCAGGAGCGGCAGCAGGGAGCCAGATCTCAAAAAAAAAAAAAAAAAAAAAAAAAAAAAAAAAAAAAAAAAAAAA